GCCCGATACGTGCTCGTGGGAGGCCCCGACGACGTTTGGCCGGCGCGTGCTCATCCCGTACTACCGTGACGGCGAGGCGATCCTTGCGGTGCTTGATTTTGACGTGGATGGGGAGCATGTCGGGACCCCGACGTATGAGACGTCCGAGGGGTGGGCGATGTCGTTGTCCAAGGCCCCGGTGCTGGAGGACTACTCGCAGTGGTTGGAGGAGGATTGCAAGCTTGTGAAGTCGGAGGTACCGTGCAGGATACGGTGCAGAAGGCTACACAACCTCCCTGCGCGGCTCGTTGGCGCGTCGCTGTTAGAGAATGGGTTCTTGCTGAAGGTCAGTCCCCCAAGTCATCCTCATTGGATGTCTGTCGTTCTGATGTCTTGCTCCTCCCTCTTTCAGGTCGCTGACGAAAACCAGTGTGACTACGTTACGATGATGTTGAACTTGTAAGCAAGACCTGTTAGCCCACCACGAGCACCCAGGCGGTGCAACGACCATGTATGACCTGAAATTATGCATCTTAGTATGACCTGTAGCACAAATACAGTAGGGTAGACCTTGGCTCGTCCATCGTGTTTACTACTGGACATTCATGTATGCTTGTATGCGCTAATACTACACTTGTATGACATGCGACTGAGGAGGGAGAAAATGCTGAGAATACAGAAGTACAGAAGTATAGTACGATATACTGAACACGTCCATCAACGAAACGGAGAGGAATGCAACTATTGTACGACAGCAGACAGATAGGATGTGATGCGAAGAATGCCTTTATCTGGGAGACATGTGCAGAAATGTCCAGGAACGACCACAGCTGTAACAGGATCAAGATCGTAAGAGCATCCGTAACTCGTTAGCTCTTGACCGAAGACGACGACGAAGGCATGTCCTCCGCGATAGCGGGACTGTATGCGCGCGGAGGGGACGCCGGAGACTCGCCCCGACTCAAGCGACCCACAGGCGACAAGTCTCGTATTGGGCTCTTCCTCGTATACGCTTGGCGTGCGTGTCTGACGTGCTGGTGATATGCGACTGGTAATGTAGGCTCAGACTGCGCCCGGATATGATCACGAGGGTCATCGTCATCGGTGTCGTTCGGAGTGTCAGCATGGGAGCCGGTGTCGAAGACGGAATGGTGACGTTGGGGCGGTCGCTGTGCGGCGGTAATAGATGCGAGGGCGTCACGGTCCGCGAGAGCGGAGAGGGCCTTCTCCGCCGATGTCACAAGGCGCTTGAATGAACCTGGAGCAGCCTCGTGTTAGCGAACTGGTACAAGGAGATGGAGAGGAAACTCACGTTCAAGACTTAGCATGAACAATGTCTATCCGTGTCGGTCAGTAGATAGCCAGGCGGGGAGTGCCGTACTGCTCACCTTTCTCGCGTCCTCGTCCTGGAGAATCTCGCCCCTAACCCTATCATTGATGCCCTCCATGTTGCACAGCTCATCCAAGAGGTTGCGCATGTCCGGTGGGATCCTCAAGTTTCCATTCTCACCATCCGCATCACCGCCTTCTAGCGGATTGGTGCTATCCGCGCGGCCAGAGACCAAGAACTGCATGTAGTCATGGAACTCCCTTGACATGCGGATGATCTCCCCCGGAAGCGTCTCGAGAGCGCGCTGCGAGATCTCCTGCGACTCCTTGAGGCGTTCCCCGATTGCTTTCGGTTCGGCATGCGGCTGATGCCCGTTCGCAGAGCCGTTCGCTGGCTTCTCCGCGCCCGTCGTGGATGGCCTGTTGAGGACGGGCCGGGGCCGCTGTTTGCCTTCCTGCAGCTGATTCTTTCGGTACTTCGTGACGGCGTTGTCGAACGTGCGGGAGTGGAGCGCGCTCTTATAGCGGGAGGACCCGCCCTCTTGTAGGACTGACGAGTGCTCGATTAGAGATGCGTGCTTCGATTCAGCAATGGCACGTACCGGACACCAGGATCGTTAGGGTGCCCACGCCGAACAAAGCCCAGACGACGAAGACGGACCGGCCCGCTGGTGTTTTGGGCGAGTAGTCGCCGTAGCCGGTGGTACTGAAGGCCACGAAACCTACGAAGTGTTACTTGGGCACGAGAGCACAATACGATGCTGAAACTTACAGAAGTACATGGCGGTCCCGTACGACCATCCTTCCGTCACACAGAAGATCCCAGATCCGATCTAGCAATAAGCCAACGTTAGTAGCTGATCCGCGTGCCATCATGGTGGAGTGCTTACAGTCCAGAAGAGGAAGAAGAGTAACCAAGCTATCGCGGTCTGAATCGCCAGTCAGCATGGAGCAGCTTCGCAACAGACCGGCGAGACGATACCTTGACATAGTAAGCCTTCTTCTCCTCCGCCTCCATGTCGGCTCTGAACTTCTCATACGTCCAGGTAGACCGTTGGTGCGCCCCACGGGAGAAATCTCTCAACCACCGAGCAGAAGAGTGCTTCCGGGTGTCCATGAACGACGCGCCGAGACCGTGACTTTGCCGCTGGCTCTCACTACTGTGCACGTTGGAGGATGCGCGATGAGGGAGCTCTGGGCCGTCTCTGGTCGAATGGTGCCGGTGGCCGTGGTGTGAGGCCTGGCGTGATAGGCCGGGTGCGTGCGCATGAGACCCGGCAACAGCGATAGCGAACTTGGTCAGCATGGCCGACATCCGCCCTACCTGTGCATGCGTCGGTGTCTGTGGATGCGCCGGCCAACCGCTCACAATCGTCTCGTGGAAGGCGTGGACGGCGTGCGTCTGAGCCAGAGCAGGGACGGTGCCCCCGTTGGGCTGGGCATGACCCGGAAGCCCGCTGACATCCTGGTCAGCATCGCCGTTCGGCTCGTCGACTTGCCTGTCCTCGATGTTGAGGAACATTTCCAAGGGTACCCCAGCCTCCAGAGCGGCCTCCTCGAGCTGTGCGCTGGTAAGCGCCTCGACGTTCAGATGCTGCTTGCGATGTCCGCCAAAGACGGACTCCATGGACTGCATCGTCGCTGTCCGCTTGATGGTGGTCCCGACGCGCTTGAAGAACGGTACCTTCACGCCGTTAGGGAATAGGCCCAGAAGATGTGCGCTTGCATCCTTCTTCTGAACGTGGGGCTTCTCATCGGGGACGTAGATCGGCTTTCCCGCCTCCCGAAGGCGGAACTCGACTGCGCGCTGCCAGCGAGCTTCCCAACGACGGAAGCGCCGGGCTTCACGCCTGCGCTGCCGCACATTGCGCAAACGCCGTCTATAGCCGATCTCGAGGCCTTCCAGGATTGTCTCGCGGCACATTGCGATAGCCACGCCAAGGTTGACGACACCGATGGAGATGTAGAAGCAGATAAAGACACGTGCGCCGGTGGAGTGCGGGACAATGTCACCGAAGCCGATAGTCTCGATAGAAACGACGGTGAAGTAGAGACCGTCGACGAAGGATAGGTCGATAAGGAACGAATTGATGAGGGCACCCAAGGCGACGTAGACAAGCAGAACAATAACAATTATCATGAGTGCACGTTGCTTGCGAGTTAACCCGCTGCCTGAAGAACGTGTTAGCCAAGCGGGATGATGGCGCTCGGACAGATGACGTACCTCGTTTAGCAAAGTCTGGTGTCCGTATGAGGTCGACAATCAGGCTGATATTCGTGATAGAAGACGCGATAGTGGAGCAGAGAGTCAACCAGTAGGCTTCACCATAAGTGAAACCATCATCGAACCGATGTTCCACGCCAAAGACGGTGACCGCGATTATGTTGATTATATCTGCTCAAGAATTTTGAGGGAGGGTACGTCATCTCCCAAGGAGAATGCTTACCGTGGCTAGTAAGGAAGACGATGCAGAGTAAGGTGACTGTTTGAACACGTTTCTCCAGGAACCGCAGGATGAGGCTGATATTTGCAATGAGGGCGCATGCGATCGAGAAGGCTAGGCCGATCTCGAGAATTGCAGGGTTAGGTTTCGTCTCCACGGTCTGGTTGTTCTCCGTCCTGATATACCAACGCTCCGTCAAACCTGGTATCTCGAGGAGGATGGAGAATGGTATGACGATGCCCGAGATGATTGGTGTCCAGCGGTAGTTGGGGACGAAGCCTTCGATGTCGTTCATCTGGTCAGAAGGCCAAACATACGCCTTGATTCTGGCGAAGAGCGACGGCGATGATACAGCGAGGTCGACGGAGGAATTGTTTGCGTGAGCGGGCTCGGAGAAGGCGGCGCGAGTGACATTAGAGTATACGCGGCGGATGCGGCGATGGGGAGTGTTGGTTGTGAGTACATCATGAGAAGCGCGATCGTGACCGTCGTCAGAGTTGTCGTGGTCGAGTTCGTCCTGGCTGGAGCGCTCGGAGTGTTCGCGGATGGCCTTCTCGGGGTCATAGGGGTCAGTGTACCTGCGAAGGCGGTCGCCCAATAGCAGACTAGGCAGAAGTAGAGCGAAGATACCCATGATTATGGGAGGTCAACAGAGGATGGGGAGGGTACAAGGAGTACGTCCGGGGTGCGGGCAGTCTAGATAGCGGGGCTAAACTTAACTGTTCCGGAATCGCAGGTAAGCGAGGGTACGAACCTCGTTGGGTCCTCATGTGCTTATATGGTTACGAAAAGAAGCTCAGTAGCGAGAACTGCTTGGTTCTTGGGGAAGGGCGTGAAAACTCGGGACTCGGGACGCTTGCTTGACAATGCCAGAATCGCGGAAGGTCCGAAGACAGCTGCCAGTTGGGATCTGGGTCACTCGGCCTGCCGCTCCAACCGAAGGTTCATCTCTAGTGAAGCCCGGCTCAGGAACGTAACCCTCATGGAAGGAGAGTAGTACTCACTGTGGGCGTAGAACGACGGCTCTGGCTCTGATGAAGGTGAGGGTATGGTGCAGAAAGAGGAGCGCCAGATGACCGACATTTGGCCGCGCGCGCGTAAATCGCCACAGCTCCGGCAACAAGCGTCTCTCTGTCCAGTGGTTAGCACGGATATCCTCAAGGATGCACAACTTCTCCATCAATCCTGTGTGCACAGTTCTGTGCCAAATACAAATTAAAAAGGTTCCCATGGGCTTGGGCTGGGCAGTGACCACCGCAGGGGTCGAACCTGCAACCTCCTGATCACGTGACAAGTGCCTTGTTGGGAAGGTGGACCCTTCCTAAATAGGACCTCAGTCGTAGTCAGACGCGCTTCCATTACGCCAGGCGGCCATAAATACTGCGGATTCATTAAAATATATGTCTGGAAGTTGGGAGCCGCCATGAACCTAAAAAGGTTTTGCGCGCGAGCGCGCCTTGTTTCGCCTCCCTCTACCAAATCATCAACACTATGTCGCTGCAGAAGTACCAGACGGAGCTCATCGAGCACAGTTTGTCTGCCGGTGCGCTGATGTTCGGTACATTCACACTGAAATCAGGCCGGTCTGTACCATCCCGCACGCCGATCCCCTAAACACTCCTCCTCACGCGCGCCCGAACGCAGCTTGTCTCCATACTTCTTCAACGCGGGCCTTCTTGCCTCAGGACCCGTCCTCGACACCCTATGCTCCGCGTATGCAGCGACGATCGCGTCAGCACTCAAGGCTTCGCCCGGGCTGCCGGAGTTTGACGTTCTCTTCGGACCGGCCTACAAGGGCATCCCTTTCGCGGCGGGCACCGCGCTCCTGTTGCACCGCGAACACAAGATCGACGTAGGATTCGCGTACGATCGCAAGGAGGCCAAGGACCATGGCGAGGGAGGCGTTACGGTGGGCACGCCTGTCAAGGGCAAGCGCGTCGTGATTCTGGACGACGTCGCGACGGCCGGGACTGCGATCCGGGGCGCGATAGACATCGTGCGGCGCGAGGGCGGAGAGGTCGTTGGCGCGGTACTTCTGCTGGATCGCCAGGAGCTGGGAAAGGCAGGCCGGAGCACGATCGCGGAGGTGGAGGAGCTCCTCGGGGGCAAGGGTCGTGTGCCGACGATCCTCACCATGCAGAATCTCATGTCCTGGCTGCAGGAGAACGGACGAACGGAGGAGTTGGAGAAGATGAAGGCGTACTACGAGGAATTTGGTGCCAAGGATGCCGCGTGAGGGCAACGCGGCGCGGGGCCGTGTGGGGAGACGGAACGAAACACAGAAGAGAAGACTTCATCTCGCTTCGTGGGTACGAAGGAAGCGAGAGATTGTATCTGTATCGTGGTGGCCGGCACGCGTATATCGACTTGCGGTTGCGGCGGCAGTTGCCGTTAGAGGTGACCAAGGTCTGCTTGCGCTCATTCCGCCGCAGGCTAACTTAGCCTTTGCAGTGTCGTATAGAGTCCATCGAGCAAAACAGACAATGACATGGAATGCCATAAGTTGGCTGTGGACCTACAATTCCTATTTCTCAGAACGAGCCACCGCACTGATTAGCTGACGGTGAGACTGACCGGAACGTCCGTCACCCGCATCGTTCGTCCCGTAGCAAATCTCACGCACGAACGTACGCACCCCAGACCGCACCTCCGGTCCACAACCCTGCTTTGAGTCCAGTCTAGATCACCAGTTTGTAAGCGCCAGGCAGGGTTCGAAGCTGCGGCATTTTCGCGTCTGGCCACAGTGCATGCACTCCTTCTCCAACGTTGGTTACGCAGCATGTTGGCGAGAGTCAGGTGTGTATTAACACCGCGCCTCGAGGATGCAAGATGCCCAGCTGTCAAGCAAATTCGGCCGCTACTTCACAATTGAGGCGTCTCTCCTTGGCTCGTATGTTGGCGTAATGCCAGCGGCGCCCGACACGTCAACCAAATGCAACCTTGAAGTGCGAGAATTCGCCAAGCGACATTACTCCGTGAATTCACGACTGACATCGCATCATGACATTGTCTATGCATAGACAGGAGCCAGGGTCAGTCGGTAGGTAAAGGACAGAAGATAGGGGAACCGGCTCACATCTACCGAAGCTACCACACCCAAACGTCAAAGCCTCCCTCAACAACTCAGTCCCCAAGTCTGCGACCTGCACCCCAGTTGTGTCCACCGGTGGTCCGCGGTGCTTCCCTCCTAGGAGGAATAACATGCACACCACCCATGTTCACCGCGCCCGCAACGCCTCCCCGCTCGCCCATCAGCGACCGCAACCATGAGGGCGCACTTCCCCAGGCCCGGAGCGAGCCAGTGTCCCATACGCCCCACCACCAGAGGTGGCCCACGACTGCTCCAGAGATGCTGACAGCCGCTGCGGACGGACCACCCATGAGGAAGTCCATGGCCACAAACAAGTATGGGAGATACTTTGCGGGGATGGTCAGGAGCCCGAAGAAGGACGTCTGTGACCCGGGAGGGGCGAGCGCGGAGGACATGTAGGTGAGCGCGATGAGGAGTGCGCGCGTGTGGATGGATGTGCGGAGGGGGATATTGAGAGCCTTAACGTGGCGGTGAGTTCACGCGCACATTGCGAACGAGTGGGACGTACAAGGATGCCCGCTGCTGCCAGTAGGAGTTGCCACGCATAGTCTGCAGAGCGAGCAGCGTAATGTCTTGACTCCAAGTCATCCGAGTTTCGGCTTCATGTCAATCCTTGTCAGTAATTGAGAAACAATGATAACAGCCACGCATACGCACTAGATCATAGCGAGGTCAAAGATAAAGTTGATGCCCGAACCTACAGAGCGTGCCACCATTGAGAACCCAGTCTTTCCCTGCGTACCCATTGACCATACCTCCGATGAAGAAACTGGTGAACACCCGCCAGATCTGTGCTTACTCGTGAACCCAATGAAGATATGACCAGTGTTGGCTCTCACCTCAAAATTTTGCGTCACCGATTTCTTGACAAACAGCAACTTATACGGCGACACAATTTGCAGCATCATTGGCAATGACACGCCCAACAGCGACCCGCACAGGAAGCGGGTGACAGGCGGGATCTTCTTAATCTCGTCGACAAGGGACATGTTGGAGGTGCAAAGCTAGCAGATAAAGCAGAGACTAGAAATACAAGCAAGAAGAGTAGACGGAGATGGTGGTCGAGGGCAACGTTTCTGACGGTGACCTCATCACTCGCCCCGGTGAACACGTAGCTCGCTTCTACCGCGGTCACGTGCGTGCCGGCGGCGCGTCGCGTCGGGGCGCACCTTCCAGGGCTTTCTTCCCGACTGCGGAATGTAATATATAGTACATCCTAACTAGTGTTTCTACAACTTCGCCATGCCGCCAGCACTCTGCACGTCTAGCACACAGACCAAGCTTCCTTCTGGTATAACAGCGCCGACCTCGATTCCCTTCCCGAGCCTCGATACCTTCCCACTCACGGGAGCATTCACAACGCTCTCCATCTTCATTACGGTGACCACAATCAGTGGCTCTCCTGCGCGGATGAAGCCGCCAGAAGCGGAGGAGAGCGCGGGGTGAAGCTCCACGATCTTGCCCGCAAGAGGACAGGACAGATGTGTTGGATCCTGTGCGTTCGCGAACTCGACCTGCGACGATGTGGAGATACTCGAGAGTTGAATGAGCGAGAACGCAAGAGGAGTCGGGGAGAGCGACGTTGCGAGCGTCCCAGAGAGTTGATCAGGGAAGGCGTTATGACCGATTGTGGAGAGGACCACATTGTGCTTCTGGGCAACCGGCTGAGGGCTTGATGCGCTCTCGCCTGCCGGAGATATCGACAACTGGAATGAAGAACCTGGCTGCAGGAGTATGGTACCAGTAACACCCGTGGTGTCCTTCAGCGATGTACCGGGAGAGGTATTCGCGGTCGCGGACGACGCAAGAGGATCACGGCGCTTTTGGAACTTCGTCTCGCCCAGGTGAATGATCTCGGTGAGGTGCTCTTCTAACCATCTGGTATGCACTGATCCGCTCTGCCAGTCAGTGTGCGACACAATGCCGGCGAGGATGTCTCTGTTGGTCTTCACTTCACCAGAGACGCGGACTTCGCGCACTGCTCTGAGCGCCTTGGCCGTTGCCTCTTCGAACATCGAGCCATGCACGATGACCTTCGCAAGAAGTGAGTCGAAGTCGACGCCCACAGTCCAACGCAGGCCATCTGGTGCGTATGGACCGGCAGAGACCCAGGTGTCGACACGGGTGCCGTTGCCGGAAGGCCATGAAACTTCATGAGGAGCGATCTCTCCCGGAGACAAGCGGAAATCTTTGTGAGGATCCTCAGCGACAATTCGGAGCTGAATCGCATATCCGGGCGGGGGTGCGCGCGTATGCTGAGGCAGGACTGTTGCCAAGGATGTCCCTGAAGTGGAGAGCAAGATTTGCACGCGCACGAGATCTATGCCCATGATCTCCTCTGTACAACGTGAGCTTTGGTTTGCGCCTGCATGTAACACAGAACCCACCAGTGACCGTATGCTCAACTTGTATCCTGGGGTTTATCTCGAGGAAGACCCACTCATGAGAGCGAGAGTTGACAAGGAACTCGAAAGTACCGAGCCCTGCATACTGCAGATGACGAGCCATTTTCAAAGCGGCCTCCAGCAAGGGCTCCGCAGCTACCCGAGGCAATGTGGATGGGGCCATCTTATGTCTGAATGAGAATTGATGCTACGAGGGAAACCGTGACGAGGCGCACCTCGACGATCTTCTGAAACCTGTCCAAGTCAGCTAGGTAGGCTCATGATTTGTCATCGACGACCGCTCACCTCCGCTGAACGCTGCATTCCCGTTCCCATAGGTGTGCAACGTTTCCTTGCCCGTCGCCGACGATTTGAACCTCGATATGCTTCCACCCCGGACCGACTAGCGCCTTCTCCACGAAGATCTGCTTGGAGGGGCTCTCATTTAGACACCGTTTGTACGCGTCGGCGACTTCAGTGGCATTGTTCACGATGCGGATGCCGCGTCCTCCTCCCCCGTCCAGGGCCTTGATGACGATAGGGTATGCAATGTGGCCCAAATGGGTCACGAACTGGTGAACATCCTCGACGGAGGACACCCGCGCGCCGGGAGCGACGGACACATCCAAGGAGACTGCGAGCTCGCGAGACAGCATCTTGTCAGACGCAATCTTGAGAGTCTCTACCGAGGGTCCGATGAAGGTAATTGGCGATGACGGTCCTTGACGGAAAAGCGAGGCGAACTTGGGACTCTCGCTCAGGAAACCATACCCAGGGTGGACATGGGTGCATCCGGTCCTATGTTTGATGTCTCTCATGGAGCCCTCCATAATGCGATGAGCTCACTCACCGACGTGCTATATCTGCAATGTGCTCCGGGTCCATGTACTTTGTTGGG